CTGTGGCCGTTTGCGGTCAGGTACGCTGCGCACCAGATCAACCTCCACCCCAGGGTCTCTCGACCGGAGACCTCCCCAGCTCTATTGTGGACGGGGAAGGTTGGCGATGCGTCGGCGTTCCGGGTCTGGGGATCTCGGGCGTTTGTTCGCGACCTGTCTGCGGACAAGCTGTCCCCTCATGCTTCTCCCTGCGTCTTCCTCGGGTTCCCCCCCGACGCCCCTGGGTGGTAGTTTTACCACCCCACCTCTCGACGTGTTCTGTCCTCCCAGGACGTCACGTTCGACGAGTCGGTACCCTACTACCGCCTCTTCCCCTACCGCACTCCGTCCCTCCCCCCACCCCCGCTCTTCTTGGTACCAGGTCCCCCCCCAGTAGTCCCCCTCCCCCCTCAGGGTCCTGCCCCTTCAGGTGTGTCTCAGGTAGACGCGGTCGAGCCTGTCGAGGTCACTGGTGACTCTGGTACTGCTGCGGGAGCTGAGCCTGGGGGTGCGGAGTCTAGGGGTGCTGAGCCTGGGGGTGCTGAGCCTAGGGGTGCGGAGTCTGGGGGTGCTGAGCCTGCGGGTGCTGAGCCTGGGGGTGCTGTGCCTGGGGGTGCTGAGCCTGGGGGTGCTGTGCCTGGGGGTGCTGTGTCTGGGGGTACTGAGCCTGGGGGTGCTGAGCCTGGGGGTGCTGAGCCTGGAGGTGCCGAGCCTGGAGGTGCTGTGCCTGGGGGTGCTTCGTCTCGCCGGGAGCCGCTCTCTCCACAGGAGCTGCGTGAGTGGTTTGCCCGGCGCTGGAGGCGTGCCGCTGGTTCTGGTGGTTCTTCGGCTGCGGAGGGCGCTGCTGCCACGCGACCTGGCGGTGCTCGTCCTGTGGGTGCTGGAGCTGCTGGGTCTGAGGGTTCTCCTGGAGCTGGTCCTGCTGAGGACGTTGGCGCTGAGCCTGCGGTTGGTGGTCCGACTGACGGTGCTCCTGGTGCTGCTGCTGGAGGTTCTGGAGCTTCTGGTGGTTCTGCTGGAGGTGCTGCTGGAGTGGGTGCTCCGGCCGGAGCTGCTGGTTCTGTTCCTGCTGTTTCTGGCGTCGCCGCGCGGTCTCGACCGTACTTCGTTCCGCTCCTGGAGCAGGTTCTTGGTCTTGCTCCTCCTCCTCCTCCCTTAGAGGGTCCGCAGCCTGTCCGGTCACAGCCACAGCTAGAGCCTGCCTCCCCTTTGCCTGCTCCTTCTCCCTACGCTGGTCCGACTGGAGGCCTTACTGAGCGTCGTGAGCCTGCGTCTCGTCCTGCGTCGCCTGTTCGTACTGAGCGCGCTAGTGGTCGCGGGTCGCGTCAGCGTCCTCCTCCTGTCCCTGGCACGCACCGGATGTCACTGCGTCCGTTCACTGCTCCTCTGCGTGCCCCTTTGCCTTCTCCTCCTGCTTCCTCTCTTCCTGCTCTTGCCGACCCGGAGTCGGACTCTCTTCGTGCTGCCAGTCCTACTGTCACGCGTCTCCTTGCTACTGCTGTCACTGACCCTTCCTTCGAGTCGTCTGCTGCGTCTGCCCTTGTCACTGAGCTTGTCGACTTTGCTGCGCGCTGTCGTCTAGACTACGCTGCTCGTCTTGTCGCTGAGTCTGAGTCCGCCTGTCCTCCGTCCGTCGGGGGTGAGTGTGCCCTTGGCACGGACGTCCTAGAGGACAGGCAGGAGGAGTTCCAGTGTCTAGCCGCTGCTTCACCTCGTCTCGCGTCTGTACTGCTAGCCCCTGAGGGAGACCCGGATGCACTAGACATCCCGACTCCGCGTTCTTACGCGGAGGCCGTAGAGGGTCCCTACTCCTCTCAGTGGCAGGCAGCTATGGATGCAGAGATGGCTTCCTGGAAGTCCACAGGCACCTACGTTGACGCGGTTCCCCCTCCTGGGGCGAACATCGTCAGTGGCATGTGGATCTTCAGGGTGAAGCGGCCGCCGGGCTCGCCGCCTGTCTTCAAGGCGCGTTACGTGGCTCGTGGCTTCAGTCAGCGGCAGGGAGTTGACTACTTTCAGACCTTCTCTCCCACCCCGAAGATGACCACTCTTCGGGTGCTGCTGCACATTGCCGCTCAGCGCGACTACGAGCTTCACTCTCTCGACTTCAGCACTGCGTTCCTGCAGGGTAGCCTGCACGAGGAGATCTGGCTGCGCCGTCCGCCTGGCTTCACTGGGACTTTCCCTCCTGGCACCCAGTGGAGCCTCCGACGGCCAGTCTACGGTCTCCGCCAGGCACCGCGTGAGTGGCACGACACACTGAGGACTACGCTTGCGGCTCTTGGGTTTGCTCCTTCTACTGCTGACCCGTCGCTGTTTCTTCGCACCGACACTTCCCTGCCGCCGTTCTACATCCTCGTGTACGTCGACGACTTGGTCTTTGCCACAGCGGACACTGCTGGACTCGCCTACGTGAAGTCCGAGCTGCTGAAGAGACACACGTGCACAGACCTGGGTGTACTGCGCAGCTACCTTGGCTTGCAGATCACTCGGGACAGAGCACGCCGCACCATTACCCTGACTCAGTCACACATGGTGCAGCAGGTCCTTCAGCGCTTCGGCTTCACGTACTCCTCGCCTCAGGCCACTCCTCTGCCTACTCGCCACTCACTCTCAGCTCTGCCTTCGGATGAGTCCGTAGAGTCGAGTGGTCCGTATGCAGAGCTTGTTGGCTGCCTCATGTACCTGATGACCTGCACACGACCTGACCTTGCATACCCTCTGAGCATCCTTGCACGCTATGTTGCTCCTGGGAGACACCGACCAGAGCACATGGCTGCAGCGAAGAGGGTATTGCGCTACCTGTGCAGTACGTCGGGCATGGGGCTAGTGCTTGGAGGGCGCAGTCCAGTGGTCCTTACTGGGCACGCAGACGCTTCTTGGGCTGACGACCAGGCTACGCAGCGGTCGTCACAGGGTTACACCTTCAGCCTTGGTTCCGGCTCTGTCTCGTGGCGGTCTACTCGCTCGTCTTCGGTTCTCGGCTCAAGTTGTGAGGCTGAGATCTACGCCGGGGCCATGGCTGCACAGGAGCTTCGCTGGCTCACCTACCTGCTGACTGACCTTGGAGAGCTGCCTCGTTCTCCTCCAGTGCTGTACGTAGACAACAAGGCCATGTTGGCCTTGTGTCGAGAGCAGCGCTTGGAGCACAGAACGAAGCACATTGCTCTCCGCTACTTCCTTGCTCGTGAGCTGCAGCAGCGTGGTCAGTTGCGACTTGCTTACGTGGCCTCTGAGGCCAACACTGCTGATGTGTTCACCAAGGCACTTGCGCCTTGCGACCATCAGCGCTTTTGTACCCAGCTGGGTCTTGTACCTGTCTTGCCTCACTTGCTCTCTTCTTGACTTTACTTGTACTTTGACATATATATACCTGCTCTTGCTTGTCTAGTTTTATATATATGTCTGTACTCTTGCATGTGAACTGGCCTCTGGCCTTGCTCTTGTGCTCGGACTGTGTGGTGACTTTGTGATCCACCCTGAGCTTGCTTTGCTTTACTTGACTGGTCTTGTGACCCCTTGTTCTCCCCCACTTTGCCTATGGGGGTGTGTCAGATTATTATAGCTGATGCATGTTTGTAGGCTATAGTGGGGTAGCACATATGGGGTACAGTTTGCTAGGGTTGTATTTGTACCCAACTCTGACTTAGTCAATTCATTCCTGTTCATTCCTTTCACAGTTCTTTGTGCAGTTGGGGATTGCTGAGGCCCTCGGTTGTTGTAGACTTGCTGTTTGCTCTATTTGTTTTGCTTTTCTATATATCCTAACGAACTCTTGAATTGGCCTTGTGGCCGCTTGTTTTGTGCTCGGAATTTGTGTGGTATTCTTGAGATCCACCATAAGCTTGCTTTGCTTTTTGTCTTGACTGGTCTTGTGACCGCCAGTTCACCCTGCTTGTTTTGATGCCCCTCACTTGGCCTATGGGGGTGTGTCAAATGTTTATATCTTCCATATATTGTTGGATAGGCTACAGTGAGTTGCCCTCTAAAGAGTACAACACTTGAGGTCGACATTTGTATCCCGTTTTTCCTACTCACTCACCAACATTTTCGATACTCACTTCCTAGTCTATTTAAAGACAGTATTACACCGAAATCCAACCGTGCAACGCCAGACAGTTACGAAACCGTCCGGGCAGAATCCTTGCCACTGCTGCTGCCTGATGCTGTCTGCCCGACTGTCCAGATCCTTACGTAACTGTATGACCTTTCGCGTCACTACCGCCTTTTCGTCTTCAGCCTCGGTAGTGCATGCTTCGCTTGCTGCGGTAAGGAGTGCACAGTAATTCATTCATTTTCCACTATTCTTAACATCAATCACAACACACTTTCACAATACACATTCTTTGGAAGTAAATACTCTTTCAGATTTTTTTTTAAACACTGTTGGAGTGAATAATAACCATAACCATTTTTGAAAGTAAAGTGTTTGGTTGACCACTCCGCTTCGAGCGCACGTCCCTGCACTTTCGAGGCAAGGCACTGCTCTGGCTGGTTTGGCACCATACACACAATACAGTGTCAGGGAGCGAGCGACTCGCCCTCCATACCAAACCACTTCCCCAGGCCCCCCCTTGAACGCTAGAACACGCATGCGCACGCGCCGCAGTAACTTCACAGTGCGCCCCTGTGAGCTCACCACCACCGGCCGTGCGCCACCCAACCACCACACCAGCGGGGACTCCGTATTCAGTAGTCCGCATTCCGCAGCCACTTGCGCCACTCTTCCCCCAATCACCACGCCCACCGACACTCCCAGAGGCTACTCGTGTGTCGTCCCCAGCCGCGCCTCTACCCTCACTGTGCGCAGATTAGGGTTCCTGTGTAGCACTCTCAGCCACCACTTACCACCTCAGCAGCCTTCTGAAGCAACTAGTTGCTGCTGTCACCTGCCCATATGTTCGACCTGGGAGCTCCCGTCTAATGATCTATCACTTTGCCTGGCTGATTTGGAAAGTGAAAGTATGGGAGACGATTTCGGTGACTCGTGATTGTCGGTAATTTAACGGCTCGTTGTGACCATGTCTCGACAAGGCGAAGGGAAAATCGGCGTAGGGGTACGTGCTGCAGAGTCGGTAGCAGGCCAGGGTGGCGCGGCGAACGATGCGAAGAAGGGTCTGAGTGGAGGTGGGATTGGCGGCGGAGGGAAAAGCGCGACAGGTCATTCTGCTGTGACGATTAATCGAGTGAAGGGTGGTTTGAACGACGGCGACGATGACGACACGGAAGAGGAAGAAGAGGAGGAGGAGGAGGGAGAGGAGGAGGAGGAGGAAGAGGAGGAAGAGGAAGAGGAAGAGGAGGATGAAGAAGAAGAAGAAGAAGAGGAGGAAGAGGAAGAGGAAGAGGAAGAGGAAGAAGAAGAAGAAGAAGAAGAAGAAGAGGAGGAGGAGGAGGAGGAGGAGGAGGAGGAGGAGGAGGAGGAGGAGGAGGAGGAGGAGGAGGAGGAGGAGGAGGAGGAGGATGAGGAGGAAGAGGAGGAAGAGGAGGAGGAGGAGGAAGAGGAGGGGGAAACGAAAGCGAAGGTTTCTAGGGCGCAATCAAACATCAAGAGAACAATGGGGGGCATCGGGGGGAGGTCTATGATTGTAAAGCGGGAGCCGTTCCGCGAGCGGGTAAGCTCTGTTAGCGGCGCTGCCAGCGAGCCGACCTCCCCCAGTGGTGCGCAGGGAACAGCGGGGAAGCGGAAGGAGGGCGCAAGAGAACGCAAGCGGAGCAAGCGCAGGCGGCAGGGAGTGGACGCGTGGCAGCTCGCGTATTTTGCTGCAGTTGCGCGGCGCCAGGCCGTGTCGCTGCGGGAGGAGTCGGAGAGGGTGTGGGTGGAAGCGGATCGCGTGCTGCGCCAAACCAGGCGGCTCGGTGAAACTGCGGCGGCGGCTTTGGATGCAACGGCAGCCGCCATAGACGGGATGGCGCAGGTTGGTCGAGACGGCGGGGGGGAAAAGGGCGCGGGAAGCTTCCGGAGCAGAAGCGGGAAGGGCGCAAATGGCGGTGGTGCGCGCCCGGGGGGGAATGACGGCGGGCTGAGCCTGCTGGGCGGATCGGCGTTTCGCGTGACGCGCATGGTGACGAAGAGCCGTGGGGGGCGGGAGAAGTTCGCGGAAAGCGATACCAGCAGCAGCAGCGACTCCGATAGCGATGCGCCTGCCCCATTGAAACTCCCCGACTCCGGGGATGACGGCGGAGGCGGGGACGCGCCAGGCGGCGGAGTCAAGCGACTGGGGCTCGGTGCGCTTGCAAAGTCCGTGATGAAGCTGCACGGGGTCAAGGGGCGCAGGGGGGCGGCGGGGAACAGGGGAGCTGAGGGGGGCAGCGCGCCTGTGGTGCGGAGGGGGAGTGGAGTCGAGGCGTTGAGCAGCGGGGGGAGTAGGAAGAGTGTGAAAATGGATAGGGAGAGCGAGCAAGAAGAAGAAGAGGAAGAGGAAGAGGAAGAAGAGGAGGAAGAGGAGGACGAGGAAAGAAAGGAGGGTGGTGGTGAAGGGAAGGAGGAGGAGAAGAATGAGCTATGGGACGAGGAGGAAGTGATAGCAGCAATATTAGCAGCAGCTACGGCGTCGGACCGTGGGCTAGACGAGGGGCTGGCGCTATGGGACGTGGATTCTGCCTCGAGTGGCGGCGCGAAGGCCAAGAAGCGCTTTAAGCGCGCCGCGATGCTCTCGATGTTCGCGTCCACATTCGTGCGCGCTGTCGGCTCGCGTGGTGTGGATGTCGCGAGCACTCCGCTTGCTGTCGCCACGCCTGCGGCCGGCGCGCGCGGGTTGTGGGGCCGCGCAGTAAGCGCGGTAGCCACGGGGGGGTTCGCCGCCGCAACTCCTTCAGGCGTTCCTTCCAGTACCCTTTCCCTGTTTTCCTCCGCCGATTCCGCGGGACCTCCGCAAAGTCATAACGGGCAAGGGGTTGCGCGCGACTTGTGGGGCCGCGCTGTAGGCGCGGTTAAAGGGCAAGATTTCTCCGCCGCGTCCACTCCCGGTCCTCCACAAACAGGCGGAGCGCGCGAGTTATGGGGCAGTGCTTTCGGCGCCGCGACAAGTGTAGAACTTCCGCCGCCGCTGCTCATTCCTCCGCGGGGTCTTTCCCCCGCGGAGCTCTCCGCGGTCGCGTCCGGGGGTACACCGCTTCCGCCCCCAAGCCATGCAGCGGGAGGCAATGCGCGTGCCTTATGGGGCCGCGCGCTGGGTGTGGTGACTGAGCAGGGTTTTCCGCTCCAAACCCCCGCCGCGTCCAGCTCCGCGGGGCTATCTGCTGCGGAAGCAGGCCCGCGGGGGCTGTGGGGCCGTGCGGTTGCCGCGGCGACGGGGAATGAGTCACGGGACGCGGGGGCGAGCGGAAGTTGGAGTGGGCGGAAGCAGCGGGCGCGCGGGCGGCGGTCGTCTTTGCCTTCAGAAGAGGAGCTGGGACAGATCGCGGAGATTGCGTGTGAGATGCAGGAGGAGACGCGGCAACAGATAGAGTCCGCGCAGCGCCTCAACATGTTCCTGGCGCACGAAAATGCACTGGCGCAGGGGCACATGTACGGATATGGCGGGTATGCGCACCCATTCCCGCATGCGGACGCGCATGCGCACCCCGCCTTCGCGCATCCCCACGCGCACCAATCCCCGCTCTTTTCCCCCTTCGCACATTCTGACTCCTTTTCCGCTCTCCATGGCGCGGAGAAATCCCCCTTTCCCGCGGCCACTCCGAGCGCCAAAGGCTCTTCCCCCGCCGGTATGCCCGCTCACTTGCAGCAGCAGCAGACGGGGGGAGCTTCCCCGGGGGGACGCCCGCTGGAACGCGCGTGGGGCATGAAGAACGCGGATCAGGCGGTGGGGGGAAGGATGGCTGGCGCGCGCGGGGAGAATGGGGGAAGGGGGAATGGTATGTGGGGAGCGGATATGCAGATGGCAAAGGGGGAGGGGCGCGGCATGGGGAAGGGCAGCGGGCGCAGTGAGAACAGAGGGAGGGGAGGGGACAGCCTGGGGGACACGGATGAGGAGCAGGAGGAGCTGGAGAGGGAGTGGAAGAGAGAGAGGGAGAGGGGGAGGGAGAAGGACTCAGGAGCGGGGGAGAGGGGGAGCGAGGGTTCCAGGCGGTCGCAGAAGCACGCGCGGAGGGGCAGGGGAGGAGGGCATGGCAACGGCAGCGGCAGCGATAGCGGCAGCGACGGGGGGGAATCCACAGGGCGGTCGGGCGAACGGGAGTATGGCATGGGGGGGGAAAGGGAGGAGAGCCCTCGGGGAAAAACGGCAGCGCGGAGGCGGAGTGGGTCAGCAGCGAGTGGGGTGAGGATGGTGCTTGCTATGAAGCAGATGGCGGGGAGGGAGGGCGGCGGCGGGGGGAAGGAATCGGAATCGGAGTATGATACAGAGGCGGAGGAGCACAAGGCGCAGAAGGAGAAGGAGCGCGAGTGGCTGCAGGAGAAGAGCCGCGAGGTGGAGGCAGCGGGGGACACGGAGGGCGAGGAGAAGGAGAGGGCGCGGGAGAGGGCGCGGCAGCTGGTGCGGCGGCCAGAGCTGAAGCGCAGCTCGTGGAAAGACTACGAAGGGCATGCGGCGGGCAGCGGGGGCAGCTGGGAGGACGCTGCACAGGGCTTTGCAGAGAAAGGGGATGATCGGGGGGGACGAGAGGGGGTGAGAGACAACATGTTGATCGACAGAACCACTATCAACGCCCCACCGGCATCCAAAGACCCAAACCAGCCACGTGCTTCCAACGCCCCCGTCCTACCCACCACGGGTTCCGCTCCCCCTTCTTCCTCCAACCCCCCTCCTGCACCACCGGGCAAGCCTGGCATGTTAGGAAAGCCGGGGCTGGGCGCTCCATTGGTGTCCGCCAGTGGGGGAGGCTTGCTCAACTCGCATAGCTCAGGTGACTGGTCCTCCACTCTCCCTGATGGTGCTGCTGGTTCTGGCCTTGGCAGCGGCAAGAGCAGTGGTATTGCATCTGCAGGTGCCAGTGCCGTCTCCTCCTCTGCCACGTCATCCGGAGCCACGTCAGCAGGGACCATGCCACCCCTGCGCAGGTCGCAGACGGCAGGAGGGCAGGAGGTGGGGCGGTACGTGGGAGGAGGGGCGAGAGGAGGAGCAGGGGTTGGCGCAGGAGGGGCAAGTACGGGGGGGGGCGCAGCAGCATCGACATCATCAGCAGCAGCAGCAGGGGGAGGTGGTGGTGGCACGTCTGGCAAGCCCCCCCTGGCATGGGCACCCCAGGGCCCTCGCAATCTATCAAGAGCCATGTCCCTGGGCCGCCATGCCATGCCCCAAGCCACCTTCCGCCCCCGCCTCCCCCCCGGTCTTGTTCTGGGGGGAGGGGGAAGCAAAGGCGCGGATGGGGGAGGGGAGAACAACGTAGAGGACCATGGGTCGGATAGTGATGGGAGCACCCGTAACAGGAACAGTTACAAGAACAGCAACAGTATTATGAACAGTAGCTCGGGGCAGGCGGGTAGCCCAGGAGTGTCAGAGTCAGGTGGTGGTTCCCACCAGGAGGGACTGTCCCACTCCATGTCCTTGCACCTGCCCCCTCGCTCCCACTCATACGGCCCTCCTAGGATCGCCCCCCGGGGAATGGCAGCAGGAGGGGTAGCGGCGAGTGGTGCAGGAGGAGGGGGTGTGCAGCGGCAGGTGGGGTATGGAGAGGGGTCGTTGGGGGAGGGTGACGACGGTGGGTTGGGCATGGTGAGAGGAGGAAGCGAGAGGCCGAAAGCAAGCGGAGGGGTGGTTGGGATGGAGGGTGGAGATGACTCAGTGCAGCTGGTGCGGAGCATGAGTGTGGATCCACGAGGTAAGGCTGGAGGTAAGGGCGGAGTGGGGGAGGGAGGCCATGGCAGTGGGCGAATGGCACTTCCGGAAGTAGATGCGAGCAACTTCACCAAGACTCATTCGTTCCACATGGCGCCATCTAGAAATGCTGGCATGCAGGCGCCAAGGGGCAAGCCAGGGGGTTCTGCGAGGTGAGGGGAGGTGTAGAGGCGGAGGACTTCTGATGGCAGGTAGATACAGTATGCATACCTGTGCCATGCGTGTTAGCTAGTGCTGACCTAACTGGTGTCCAGCTTCTTGCTTAGGTCCTAACTTGCTTAGGTTGAACTTCCCATATCGGTTTCTAATTTATTTTGTAGGATCAGCTTGCAACATTTTGCTTCGGTACCCTGAATGACAAAATTAGGCCCCTGATCTGTTTTTGAAAATGACATGCTTATGTGGAGTTGCTTATTGTCACTTTCTGCAAGTATAGTCGTCGTAAGGTACCTTCAGCATTATGGTGTACCAAACGGTGAACCAGAAATGAGATTCGAGAGACGTGGAACGCGGCTCTCGAAGTCAACCAGTCCCGTTCCGTCGCAGCGAGAGGCACGCAAAGTGCGTGCCTCTTGGCGCCACCCGTCCAATTTTCGAGGAAGCTCGACCCCAGCTCCCACCTTGTGAGTTCGCGAGATCGCCAACGCGCCGTGTTACCACGTCGGCCGGTCGTGAGAACTGCTGGTGTCAGCCCGTTCCCTGGCAAGGATCAGCCCTGAATCCGTCAAGCGAGGTATCCATGCGAGCCGAAGCGCGTCAAGCGAGGTTTCACACCCCACACCCCCAGCCCAAGATTTGCTCGAGGCCAATTGACGAGCCGCTGTACCATCCACGTGGCAGCGTATAACACGACGCTACCCTCAAGGGGCCGGCCATGGCGAAATAGGTAGGGCAACGCCAGCCCGATTCCGTAAAAAAGACTCCCGAGAATCGTGGCTCTCATAATCTCATTCTGCTTCCACAAGCAGCAGCAGCTGCCTCCCTCACTTGTCAGGCGGAATTTCCAAGAGGAACTCGTTGCCACCGCAAGAGAGACAGAAATGCTCCACAAGTGCATACACTAGCGGAACCTTAGCAACTGGAATGCTTGGCTGACGCGGAATGTTGTACGGGTCTGTGACTAGGGAAACCATTTTCAGCGCAAGTGATAAAGTTTTCCTTTGTGTGGAACGCCGGAATATCCGTAGAATGTGGATATAGTGCAGTATGTATGCCTGGCGCAGCAAGACCTAAGTTAGCACTTAGAAACGTTCAGTCGTGTTGCAGCTTGGTTTTCAGGGAACGAACAAGTAAGGAAGAATGTTCAAAAGTCTGCGCTCTCGCACTAAGGAGAAATTCGAATTCCGGCTTCGCTTCCATGCCACACGCGTATGCTCCCCTTCCATCCTACCATCTCATTCCCCTAACCCGTGTCGCAGATTCTCCTCCTCAGAATCTTCAATAATCCATACGCATCGCCATTGGCTCATTCGTCTACATTACCTCGTGCCTTCATTTCCATCTTCTCATCGTCCTCCCACCTCCCCCTCTTTCCCATGCAGCTGCCGCCAGGCCATGAGAGCCTCCACGTGTCGCTCTATCAGGACACGGGGCGCCTTCAGAGCCAGACGAGCCGTGTGGCCGTGAAGAACGGCGCGTGTCAGTGGGGGGACACGCTGACGGAGGTGGTGAAGCTCACGCGCGCCAAGGGCAGCAAGGCGTTCGACGCCAAACACTACCGCCTCGTCGTTGCCTCGGTCCGTCTCCCACTCGCCTTGCACTCCTCTCACATCGCGCTCCCTTCGCCCCTCAATTCCCTTTTGGCGCTAATTTCCGGCTTATGCTCCTCTCCACATTAAATCACACATTCTGTGCTAGAAAGTCGCTCAGGCTCACGCCTCCCCCGCGCTCCCTCCCCCGCTTGCTTCATCCTGTCTGCCCAGGGACCATCCAAGGCGTCCATTCTTGGCGAGGCGTCACTGAACCTCGCGGATTTCGCCGCCTTTTCGCAGCTGGACCAGCGATCTCTGCCTTTGCGCTGCTGCGAAGCGGGCTCCGTGCTGCACGTACGTGGTCTTTCATACAATCGGTCGCTCGCGGCCGAAGGCGCGCTTCGCATCGCCACGCGCTTCTCTTCTTAGATTTCCCATTCGTTCCTTTTCTCTTCATCTTCTCTTCTTACTTCTCCTAAATATCCTTCTCTAACTGCCACCTGATTGATTCACGTGGCATCCACGTGTGCGCGTGTGTCATGGTTCGTGCAGGTGACAGTGCACTCCATCCCTCTCGAGACGCGACACACACCCAACTCTCACTCCGAGTGAGCCCCAGCTTCCCCCCTCCCCAGCTCCACGCGCTTCTTCCTCTCCCGCGCCCCTCTCTTCCTCTTTCTTTTTTCCAATCGTTCTGCTGGATTCGCACGCACCTCGCCTAGCTGTGTGCACGAATCTAAGCTGTTCTCCCCCCCCTCTCCGCCATCTTCTTGCAGCGACGAATCCGAGTCGGCCGACGGCGCGGCGCCACGCTCGCCGCACACCCTATCCTTCACGCGGCACCGGCCGTACGATACGGAGAGCGACGACGAGCGCGGGGGCGCGGCAGACGAAGAGAGCGAGGCGGAGGAGCGCATGTACGGGGCGGCGGGTGCGGGGGCGCGGTCGCGGTCCGCGCGGTATAGCAGCAGCGCAGCATCAGAGCCGGCGGATTCTCTGCCCGCCACGCCCCTCTCAAAACCCGCTGTCGCGCCCGCTAATGCGCTCGCCAAGGTACGGTTGGGCGCGGTTGATTCAGGCCGGTGGCGCGCTAGCGGCGATGATGTTCCGCCTTGCGCGGGGACAGGAAACCGGTCAAAGCCAGTCGCTCTACGCAATCTGGTTCTGACATTCACCACAAGTGACTCATGTCTGTGGAGGTGTGGGGGGGCAGGTGGTGAACAGTGTAGTGTGCTCCGGCCCCTGGCGTCGCCAGCCGGCCCTGCTTCTGCAGGGCTCCGCACGTGTATGCGCCAGTCTTGCGTTAATCTCCGCTGGCGGTCCCGTTCGCCACATTTGCCTCTTGCCTCGTCCGCGTCAACTTTCGCCTTTCCCACCCTCCCTCCGTTTCTTCTCTCCCTCTCTCTTCCTCTTTCACCTCCTCCCTCCTCCCAACTGCCGCCACCTTCGTCCAGTTGCAGCTCTTCACGGGCTCGGCGCGCTCCTTGACCGCGCCATCCACGCCCCCCCGTTCGTTACACTCCCCGCGAACCCCGCCAACTCTCGCGCAGGTATCCCTTCCGCACCGCGTGCCAGCATCATCTGCCGTCCGTTGCCTCCCCACGTTCGTTTCTACATTGCGCACGCACACGCCACCTCTCCCGCTTCAAACTTCCCGTCGTTCCCCCACCCCTTTTTAATCAAATTTCGCCTTTCCGCACCTCGCTGCCGAATTTCCGCAGGTAACTTCTGGCGCCTCCGCGCCTGATTTCTCTCTCTCCCCGCCGCCCGCCCTACGCGCGCACCATCTGGCCCAGCGCAAAGACGACTCCGACTACGCTCGGAGCAGCGACCGCGTGTTAAGCGATCCGCCACCAGCCGTGCCGCCGCCAACAGGCGCAGCGCCACGTCATTCTATGGTGTCTGACGTGTCTCCGCCTCTCGAGCCCCCGCCGTTCCTTCACTCCATCCGCGCCTCGTCCCGCCCAAGCTCCCCCATGCGCGCAGCTGGCAGTGCGCGCATGAGCGGAGCCGGCGGTCCCGGGGGGGTTGGCGGAAGTTGGCGGGGAGAGGGCGCCAGCGTGGGCGGGGTTGCTGAAAGCGTAGGGAGTGGGAGTGTAAGCGGAAGCAGCAGCGCGGGGGGATGGAGCATGGCGCGTGGAAGCACCACGAGCGCGTCCATAAGCCGCAGCAGCAGCTGCGCAAGCAGCAACGGCGGGTGGTCCGCCATCGGCTCGTTCCGCGGAGCGCAATCGCCCGTCAGTCGGAAAACCCTGCTGCTGGATCTGCAGCAGCAGCAGCAGCAGGGGGTGGGGATGACGCAAGCGGAGCGGAAAGTGGGCGCAAGCGGAACGGATGCTGCCTGCGCAACCTCTGGCGCGGGTGCTGGTGGCGCAGGGCAGGGGGCGGGTATGCGGAATGGGGGCGGGGACGGCACGTCGCTGAACACGCGGGTGAGTGGCCACAGTCAAGTGGAGTCCGCGGGTAGAACCGCGGGTAGTTCCGCCACGCAAGCGGTGGGAGCGGATGACCTGCGCGGAGCGGAGGCCAGAGCACGACTTGGTAGGAGCAGAAGCGTAACTGGCGGGGGTGAGGAGGGAAACGACGCGCTGCTGGCGGCGGAGGGCGCGGCTGCGCGTGATGTGGATGAGTCGCGCGTTCCGGGGTGGCAGGTGGAGCGCCTGCGGGCGCAGGTTGCGCGCGCAAGGGCGCAGCAGACGAAGGTGGAAGAGGAGCGCGACCGATTGGCGGAAGAGTTGCGCCGAGCGCAGAGCGCAGGCGGAAGCGGAGGAGTCGGAAGCGGAGGAGCGGTGACCGGCACGCTGGGTGCGCTCGGGGCAACGACTAGCAGCAGCAGCAATGGCAGCGGGAGCGGGCTGTGGGGGAGCGGGTGGGAAGCGAGCGGGGGGGAGGGGAGCGGGGGGGAAGGCACACAGAGCTCGACGGACGGCGGAGAGAGCAGCGGGCGGGAGGCAATGGAGGAGGCATCGCAGTTGCGGGGCGATATGTCGCGCGCGCGGGACGAAGCTTCACGCGCGCGGGAGGAGGCGTCGCGCGCGCGAGAGGAGGTGCGGTACTACAAGGACGTGAGCGCGCGCCTGACGGCTCAAGTGGACTTGCTGCGGGTGAGTAGGCGGAGATTGCGCGGGTGAGCGCGCGGAGACGGCGCAACTCCTACCAGGACGCGCAGTTTGAGGGGAGGGGAGTGGAGAAGTGGGGAGAGCAGAGAGCAGTAATGAGAGAGTGGGAGGGAGTCGTGGGAATGATGAGACTTAGAGCGAGGTCCTACTTTGTCGGCCTCCCCTCTTCCGCTTCATTTTCGCTCCACCAGAAAATCCAGCAAAACTTTTATATTTTTTTCTTTGCCTCACCAGTTCTTTCCGCCACACGCCCCGTGTCACGTCCCTGCTTCCCCGCCAGAGCACCAACGACTCGCTCGCGCAAGAAGCGCGCCAAGCCGCGGAAGACGCCAGCAAGGCGCGCCGCGAGGCGCAGGAGCTGGCGGCGGCGGGGAGGGAGCGCGAGCGCGCGCTGCGCAGAATGGATGGGGCCGCGGAAGAGAAGGAGCGCGCGTGGCGGGATCGCCTGCAGCGCCTTGTGGAGGAGCGCGGAGATCTCGAGGCTAAGCTCCGGCGCGCGGAGGCGGAGCGGGAGGAGGCGGAAGAGCAACTGCGCGCACACAGCGATTCCCGAAGAGGCGGGAACGGGGAAAGCGTAGGCGGGGGGAGCGCGGAGGAGTTGCGGGAGTTGCGCGCGCGGGTGGAGGAGGGGGAGCGCGAGGTGGAGGAGCTGACGCAGGAGAGCCTGCAGCTGGCGGCGGGGCTGAGCGCCGCGCGGAGAGATGTGGCGGAGCGGGAGGCGCGGATCAAGGAGCTCCAGGTGCAGGTTAGCGTGCTGCAGCGGTGGGAGAGGCGCGAGGAGCGGCGGGGTAAGGGCGGAGACGACTGGGGGATGCGGCGGAGAGAGGAGGGCGGAGCGGATGAGAGCGGGGAAGGTGCGGAGCAGGTGGAGCAGCTGCAGCAGCAGCTGCGGCGGCAGGAGGAGCAGGCGCAAGAGGCGGAAGCGCAGGCGCGGCGATTGGAGGAGCAGTGCGCGGAGCTGGAAGAGGCAGCGCAGCGCGGCAGAGAGCGGGCGGAGGAGGCGGAGAAACGCGCGGAGCAGTTGGCGCAGCAGGTGGCGGACGCGGAGAGGGCCGCGCGCGAAGCGGAGGAGGCGCAGAGGCGCGCGGAGGGGCAGGCGCGACTGGCGGAGATGAGCGCGGAAAGGCTAGGCAACCGCGTCCGCGCGCTGACGCCCTTGGAAGCGCGCGTGGGGGAGCTGGAAGAGGAGCTGCGCGTGGGGGTGGAGCGCGTGCGCGTGCAGGAGCGGGTCAAGGCGGAGGCGGAGGCGCGCGCGCGACAGCAGGCAGCGCTGCTTGCGGAGGTGCGGGAGGAGCTGGAGGGGGAGGTGCGGCAGCTGGGGAACCAGGTGGAGGGGCTGCAGCAGCGGTGCAGAGCGGTGCAGGGGGAGAAAGAGAGACTGGAAGCGGAGAGGGACAGACTCGAGGAGGAGGTGAAGCAGGCGCGCGCAGCAGCGCTGGCGGAAGCAGGCAAGGCGGAAGCGGAGGCGAAGCGCGCATGGGGGGAGGTAGAATCGATGAGGCGGGCGGTTGAGTCTCTGGAGAGGGGGAAGCGGGAGGCGGAAGCAGAGGCGAAGGGCGCGCGGGATGCGCGGAGGGCGGCGGACGTGAGAGTAGAAGAGCTGTCAGTGCAGCTGGCGTCGCTGCGGGAAGTGCTGCAGGAGCAGGCGGAGCGGGCGGAGGGCGCGGAGGCGGGGCGGAAGGCGCAGCAGGCGCAGGCAGAGGCGGAGGCGGAGAGGGGCAAGGCGGAGAGGCTGCAGCAGGAGGTCCAGGGGCTGGCGGGTGAGGTGGCGCGGTTACAGGGGGAGGCGGAGCAGGCGCGGAGGGAGCAGGAGGAGCAGCAGCGGGTGGCAGAGGGGAGGGAGAGGCAGCGTAGGGAGGCGGAGGGCAGGGCAGCGCGGCTGGAAGAAGCGCTGAGGACGGTGGAAGAGGAGCTAGCACACAGCCTGGCGCAGAGGCGCCACGTGCAGGAGAGAGAGGTCCAGCTGGAGGCTGAGGTGGCAGCGCTGACTGGGAATGCCGCCAGGCTGGCGAAGGCTGTGCGGGCGGCGGAGGAGAGGGCGGCAGAGGCGGAGGAAGAGGTGGGGAGGATGAGGGAGAGCGTGGAGAGGGTGAGGGGGGAGAAGAGGGAGGTGGAGGAGCGGATGGATGAGGTGGAGGCGGAGAGGAGGCGGCTGGAGAGAGAGGTGGAGCGGCTGAGGGGGAGTGCGCGTGGGGAGGGTAAGGCGGAGCGGGAGACAGCAGGGAGTGGGGTGGAGCAGGAGCTGTGGGCACGACTGGATGTGCTGCTGGGTGAGAAGGAGGAGGCGGTGCAGCGCGCTATATGCGTGGAGGAGGGGTTCCGGCGCGAGAGGGCTGCGTGGGAGGCAGAGAGGAAAGAGGTGAGGGGCGAGGCGGAGAGGATGAGAGGAGAGGTGGAGAGAGCGAGGGCGGAGGCGGAACGGGCGAAGAGAGAGGTGGAGAGGGTTGAAGGGGAGTTGAGTATGGTGAGGGTGGGTGCTGGTGGTGCTGCTGCTGCAGTGGGAGGGGAAGCGGCCAATGGTGCTGGAGGAGAGAAAGGGGCGGGTGAGGGGCCGGCGAGGAGGCTGATGAGTCAGATGCAGCGGTGGAGCTGGGTTAGCACCGGTGCTGCCACTGCTGCTGCCACTGGTGTGGCGACAGGTACCAGCACTAGCGATGGCAGCACAGCTGATAAGGCAGGCAGGAGTGACACAGAGAGTGACAACCAGCAGCAAAAGAGGGCTGATGTGAATGAGGGAGTTTCGGATGGTAGCAGCAGCAGCAGCGTTTGGGAGGAGAAGGTGCAGCGGCTGCAAGGAGAGGTGGATCGGTTGAAGGCAGAGGTGCAGGCAGAGCGCGAGTCAAGGCGAGCCAGCGAGCAGAGGAGTAACGAGTACACGAGACGTGTGAGGGAGCTAGAGTCTCTGCTGCAGTCCGCCAGGCAGCAAGCAGCAGAGGCGGAGAGGAGAGCAGAGAGGCACGCAGAGGAGATCCCTGTGATGCGAGCAGAACAGGCGGCGCTGCGGCGGCAGGTGGAGGAGGCGAGGAAGCAAGTAGCAGGTGTGGAGAAGGCACGACTGGAGTTGGAAACGGAGCAGAGGAGGCTGGCGCAGCAGCAGCAGGGCGCGGGCGCAGGCGGGGACAGGAAGAAAGAGTTTGAGAAGCTGCGAGGGGAGCTGATTAAAGAGAGGTTGGAGAAGCAGGTGGTGGAGGAGCGGCGCGTGCTGCTGGCGGGGCGGTTGGTAGCCATGGAGGCTGAGCTGGCAGGCTTGGAGGAGGTTCGGCAGAGGAATGCGAAGCTGGAGGCAGATGCGGAGACGATGAGGGTTGCTGCGGAGCAGCTGCAGGCGGCTGTTAAAGCCATGGAGGAAAAGATGGCGGCTGCCCATGGGAAGGAGGGAGGGGGGGATGGGGGAGTAACAGGTGGAGTGGTGGGGCAGGTTGGGGGTGTGGTGGGTGACGGTGTGGCGTTGAGAGGGAGTGTGGTGGTTGTGGGTGAGGGGGATGTGGGAGGGAGTGTGGGTGGTGGGGAGGAGATGAGAGGGGGTGACGAGGGGCCTTCATACAGTGGGGAAGGAGGAGGAGGAGCAGGAGCTGCAGGAGGTGGTGCAGGAGGTGCAGGAGGAGGAGCAGGAGGGGGAGCAGGGAGTGCAGGAGGAGGCGAGTCAGGGCCTCAGGACGTGGACTTTTGGAAGAGCTACGGGCTGCCCCATGGGCGAGTGCCCCAAGGGGGGCGGCTGAGGGAGGAGCGCGTGGCACGGGGCGGCGGAGGTGGTGGGGGAGTCGGAGGAGGAGCAGGTGGTGCGGGAGGAGGGGGAGGAGGAGCGGGGGCAGGGACACGAGGCAAGGTTGCAGCGTCAACTCAGCCATTCAGAACCCAGCCGCAGCAGCAGGCACAGGTGCATGCACAGCAACGTGTGTGGGCATTGAGTCCTGTGGTCGGACGGGCAGGCAGTGGTGGGGGCGGTGGAGGAGGGGCAGGGGGAGCAAGAGGGGGCGGGGTGAGTGGGGAGAGTGCGAGGAGGGGCATGAGTCCCCTGCGAGGGGCCAGCCAGGCTCGCTCTTCCAGTCCTGTGCGCTCTGCTAGCCCTGCTCGCACTGCCAGGCAGCCTGCAGCAGGGGCAGGAGCAGGAGCAGGAGGTGTGGCGTTTGGCAGTGCGACTACACGCCATGCGTCACCGGCACGCACAGCCAGACAGCAGCAGCAGCAGCAGAGTGTGGGGGTGGCAGGGATGGGGGTGGGAGCAGCAGCGAGGATAGCTGCAGGCAGGGCAAGTGGAGGAGGTAGTGGGGCAGGGCATGCAGGAGGGGCAGGCAGCAGTGCGGGTAACCGGCATGTGGGCGTGATGGGTGCGTCTCTCTCTCACAGCACAGTCAGCAGCGGCGGCGGCTGTGGTGCCAGCAGCGGTGCTGTTGCAAGCAGCGGCTTGTATGGGAGCCGAGGAGGAGGGGCTGCTGCGGTTGCAGCAGCAATGAGGCGGAGCAGTGAACGCAGCAGCAGCAACCATGCCGTGGCGGCAACACACGCAGATGGCAGCAGCAGCAGCAGCGGGCATCATGGCAGTGTGACTGCGAGCGGCGGCGGCATTGGCAGCGGCACAGTGACTGCCAGCCTGCTGGGCTGCATGGGAGCATCAAGCTTGCTGGATGAGGGCGCAACGAATCCTCTCTTTGGAGATGATGATGATGAAGAGGTCTGTATGGGGAGGGGGGGGGAGGGTGTGTGTGTGTGTATGTGATGATGACACAGAACCCCACTGCCACGTGCCTCCAAAGGCCCAAGCGTCCCTTTTTTGCTCACCTTGCAGTCACTTTGTTTGCGTCCTGCTCTTTAAGTTTCTCTTGCCTCTCTCATCCCTCTGAAGGGATCGCTAATCCATGTTCTCTGCTCTCCTTTCCCTGCATTTGTTCGTGTGTTATACCCTCCAAATCCATCAGGTATCCAGCTCCTGTGAGGGGCTCACCAGAACCACAAACCACATGCCATTCTTAGGATCTGCCACTGGGAACACCACTGGCGACGTGTTCAGTGCCCCGTCACCGGGCATGTCTGGAAGCTCTAGCAGCAATGGCGTTTGCGGTGTTGGTGGCACGAGCAGCAGTAGCAGCACGATTATCAACTGGCGTGGCCATCCCCAAGCGATGCAAGCTTCGTGGATGGGAAGGGAGGGCACAGGCGGCCATTATATGCTATAGATGGGGAAAACCCCTTGGAGCACACTGAGGAAAATGCAGCAAGTCTGTAGGTTGATAAAGGCAACCTTCCTATAATAAGTTTGTATAAACAATCTTCAATGTGGTAAATACTGGATGTCTGTTACGAGTGCAATTGAGTGAACGAACGAGAATTGCACTATCGAAGCAAGAATACAATGAGCGAGGGCGTGAGCGAAGAATATATAGCGAAACTACAGTGGTAACGGTAATGGTCTGTGGTAGTCGCACGTCGAGCCTGGGACTGAGGTTGGGAAAGTGTCGAGGCGTAGGCCCGGAGCGCGGGTTACCAGCCGAGCCGTGAGGTCGGGATGCGATGTGCGAAAAATGGCGGGATGATTGTCGATGCGATGATCGCGAGTGGTAACGGCGCTGACTGAGGTGCTACAGTGATGTACGCGTTGAGCAGGGATGCGAAGTAAGGAAAAGGGATTTTCCTTACACTACCCCCCCCCTCCTAAGGAGGTCCTTCTTACGAAAGTGTGTGGACATCTTTGAAGTTTCGGCTGCGCAGATATTCGGTGAGGACAGGGTGGTTTTCAATTCTGTCCAGGGGAACCCAGTTGTCCTCTGTAGGTGTACGGTCTTTCCAGCGGATCAGGAACTCGATCTTTCGGGCTCCTCGGGGGTCGCGAACTCTGTGACTCAGGATTTTGTCGGGGGTGATGATTGGTTCGGATGGTGGTCGTGCCATGCTGGATGGTCGGTGTCGTGGGAGTTGGCCGGTGGATGGTACGTAAGGGCGAAGCAAGCTGACGTGGAACGAGGGGCTGACGTACCAGTCAGCAGGGAGGAGGAGGTGCGCGGTGACAGGTGTGATCATGTGGCTAATTCGAAATGGCCCACAGTATCGGGGGCTGAGTTCTGGAGTGATGGGCAGGCGGAGGTTTTGAGTGTCGAGTAAAACGAGGTCGTCGGGCTGATAAGTGACAGGTCTGCGGTGGCGGTCGGCGTTGCGTTTAGCGAGGATGTTCGATTTTTTTATTGCTTCTGCTGCCCTGGTCCGTGCTGCTTGCAAAATCTCGGCAAATTGTTGCGCACGTGGAACGGGGTTGTCGGGATTTGGGGTCATGGGTACTGTGGGGTCTTGTCCGTAATTCAGGTAAAACGGCGACTGTTGGGTCGTGGCAGGTGGCGCGTTGTTGTATGCGAATTCGATGAGTGGCAGCTGCTGCTCCCACGTGTTTGGGTCGTCGCACGTGGCCCTAATGAGCTGCTCCATGGTCTGGTTTGTCCGTTCTGTCTGTCCGTCGGTTTCGGGGTGATACGATGAACTGAATTGTAGTCGCGTGCCGAACTGCTGCCACAGGTTCCGCCAGAAATTGCTGGTAAACTTCGTGTCTCTGTCGCTGATGATCGATGCTGGTATCCCGTGCAGTCGAACGACGGTGGTGATGAAGAGTCGGGATGTTTCCTCGGCTGTGATTGTTTTCTTGCAGGCTGCGAAGTGTGCCATTTTCGTCAATCGATCGACGACGACCAGGATCGCATCATTCCCACTCGCCCCGGCTGGTAACCCCGTGACGAAGTCCATCGTCACTTGTTGCCAAGCACGCTCTGGAGGTGGGATTGGTTGTAATTGTCCCGCCGGCCGCTTCCTGGTTGACTTCATGAGCTGGCAAGTGGGACACGATGCCACGTGTCGTTGCACGTCGGTCAACATTTCAGGCCAGTAATAGTACCGCTGCAGCTGCTGCCGTGTTTTCTCTACTCCGAAATGTCCCGAGGTAACTCCGTCGTGTGCCTCCTGTAACAGTAATTCCCGTAATAGTGTGTACCCTGGTACCCAGATGCGGTCGGTTCCAGCTTTTACGTAATAGACTCCCTTGGCTGCTGCGAATTGCTGCGAGTTTCCTCCTGTGAAGAATGGGTCTGTTTGATATCCGTGGGTAAATAGTCCTGTCAGTAGCGGACTGGTCTGGGCGAGTAGTATCGCATGGATCTGGGCAGTGGGGCGGGTCAGTGCGTCGGCGATATTGGAGGCTCCTTTTTTATAGGTGACCGTATAATGGAAGTTCGACTTGAGGAAGTTGAGCCACCGAATCTGTCGTGGGTTGAGGTGGGGCTGTGCACGGAGGTACGATAGGGATCGATGGTCTGTCCGTACTGTCACGTCTGCGCCGGTCAAGTAGCAGCGCCACACTTTGAATGCATGCACGATCGCGAGCATTTCGCGGTGGTGTATCGGGTAATTTCGCTCAGGCGGATGCAGTTTGCGTGATTCGTAGGCGATGGGTTGGAGGCCGTTGCCGAAGTCCTGTAACAGTACGGCTCCGATGGCGATGTCGCTCGCGTCTGTAACAACCTCGAAGGGGCGATGTGGGTCAGCGATGCGTAGGACGGGTGGTGAACAGAGAACAGTTTTCAGGGCAAAGAAGGCAGCATGCTCTTTCTCCCCCCACGTAAAAACGACCCCCTTACGCAGTAAATCTGTGAGTGGGGCTGTTAAGCGTGCCATGTCGGGGACGAACCGACGGACGTAATTAACGAACCCTAAAAAACTCTGCAGTTCCGTGATGTTCGTCGGGGGACGCCACGCGTTGACAGTATCCAGCTTCTTAGGGTCGATTTCAACTCCAGCCTCCGAAATAACGTGTCCTAAAAATTCTAGCCTGTCCCGAAAAAACTCGCACTTGGAGCCCTTGGTGAGTAACCGATGTTCCGCTAAAATTTTAAAAACTGCTTCGAGATCGACTAAGTGCTGCTGCTTGTCCCGACTGTAAACGAGAATGTCGTCAAGGTAAACTATCACGCATTTATCTAAAAGTGGCCTAAACGCCTCGTTCATGGTCATTTGAAATGTGGCGGGCGCGTTGGTCAGCCCGAAAGGCATCACCGTATACTCGAATGACCCGTACCTAGTTCTAAATGTTGTCTTGGCGCAGTCCGATGGTTCGACCCGAATCTGATGGTAACCTCCTCGTAAGTCTATTTTCGAAAATTCCCGTGCGGTTCGTAACTGGTCGATCAGTTTGTCAGAACATTATAGCTTACTTATTTGTGTAGGCTATAGTGGGGTATCCCATAGGGGGTACAACCCAATTAGGGTTTCCTATTTGTACTCACTTCGTTCATAGTCAATTCATTCTCGTTCTTTCTTTCACATGGAATCAGAGCAGGTTCCCTCCTAGGGACTGCTTCTAGGGCCCACCGAAGCGCACCCCGAGGCGCGTTTTCTTTTTTTTTAGCGACCCGTTGTGTCGTCCCCAGCGGCCCGTCGCGCCGCCCTTCCCTTAGCGGCCCCGCCGCCCTTCGATCACGGCTCCGCCGCGCTTCCTTAGCGGCCCCGCCGCCCTTCGATCGCGGCCCCGCCGCCCTTCGATCACGGCCCCGCCGCCCTCTGCTAAGCGGCCCCGCCGCCCTTCGATCGCGGCCCCGCCGCCCTCTGCTAAGCGGCCCCGCCGCCCTTCGATCGCGGCCCCGCCGCCCTCTGCTAAGCGGCCCCGCCGCCCTTCGATCGCGGCCCCGCCGCCCTCTGCTAAGCGGCCCCGCCGCCCTCTGCTAAGCGGCCCCGCCGCCTTGCTCACGCGGCCCTGCCGCCCTCTGCTACGCGGCCTCGCCGCCGCGTCGCCCGTGCACCTGCCCGTGCACCCACCCGTGCACCTACCCGTACGGCCGCCAATGCAGTCGCCCGTGCCCAGCCGCCCGTGCAGCCGCCCGCGAGCCGTCCCAGCCGCCCGTGCGGCCGCCCGTGAGTCGCCCGCGAGACGCCCGCGCCGCCCGAGCCGCCCGAGCCGCCCGCGAGACGCCCGCGCCGCCCGAGCCGCCCGAGCCGCCCGCGAGACGCCCGCGCCGCCCGAGCCGCCCGAGCCGCCCGCGAGACGCCCGCGCCGCCCGAGCCGCCCGAGCCGCCCGCGAGACGCCCGCGCCGCCCCAGCCGCCCGAGCAGCCCGAGCCGCCCGTGCCGCCCCAGCCGCCCGAGGAGCCGATCTTCTGCTGTGGGGCTCCTACTGCTCCTGGGCCGGCGCAGCTGCTGTGCTGCCGTGTTGCTGTGTCGCTGTGCTACCTGACTCTTCCTGCCCGGTGAGACTGTCAGCTGCTACAATGGCCACCCCCAGTGTCCTGACTTTTGACGCTGAGGGTCGCTCCATTGACTTTGCAGTCTGGATTGAGGACCTACAGCTGTACTTACTGTGCGATGCGATCGATGAGGTTTCTCTCTTTGACTTTGTCTCTGGCGCTGTCCCTGCCCCTCCTGCTGATGCTGACCCCACTGTTCGCTCCAAGTGGGCCACACGCGATGCTGCTGCACGTCTTGCTGTGCGTCGCCACCTCCCTTCCTCCGAGCGTGCACACTTTAGTCAGTGCAAGACCGCTCAGGCCTTGTACGACGCTGTAGTTGCGCGCTACTCCTCCCCTTCCACTGCTACACTGAGCCGCCTCATGCTACCGTACCTCTTCCCTGACCTTGCTGCCTTTCCCACAGTCACTGACCTCTTTACCCACCTTCGCACTAGTGACACTCGCTACCGAGCTGCGCTTCCTGCTGCCTTCCTCGCCGAAAACCCCCCTCCCATGTACATCACCCTCTACTTTCTAGTCACCCGTCTCCCTGAGTCCCTTCGTGCTGTTAGGGACCAGTTTCTCTCTGTCTGTCCCACCACCCTCACTGTCGACCTCCTTGAGAAGTCCCTGCTAGCGGCCGAGAAGAGCATAGTCGCTGTAGGGGCCTCTCGTGGTGACCCGCGCACCCCCATCTTTGAGGGGTGTTCTCCTTCCCCCCTGCTACCCTCTGTCGCCTCTGCTGCTGCGGCCGACCTCGTTGGTTTAGAGTCGGTCGGTGTGGCGTCTGCCCCCAGCGGTAGGCGCCGCTCTGGCAGGAGCAAGGGGGGCAAGGGAGCGGGTGGAGCTAGCGGGGGCGGTGGCGGAGGAGGTGGGGGCGGCGGGGGGAGTGGGGGTGGCGGTGGGGGTGGAGGCGGGGGTGGAGGTCCTGGTGGCGGCGGTGGAGGCGGAGGTGGCGGCGGAGGTGGTGGCGGAGGAGG